GCCCTCTCCCGGGTTTCGGAGTCTAAACTGCCTGGCCCCGCCCCCTGGCCACCGAAGTCTGATCTCTTTGCTGTCTACCCAGGACCCGCTCTCGCTCTACTCCTCCGGTCCCTTCCCGTGACCCCCCCCCCATGTCCGGTCACAAGCAAACCAGACCGGGTCTGAGGCTTGGCGGCTCCGTTCGTAAGGCCCGTGTGCCCCAACCCGCTCCTGCCAGCTCTGACCGGCTCCACTCTGTAGACCTGGCCCATAGGTTCTCTGAGCGAAGTCCCTGAGCCACGGCTGGTAGGTATGGCTTCTGGAGCTGAGTCCCTGTCTGCAGGCACTGCTACGTTCCAGCCAGCCCCTGATCGGGCCCCAGAAGCTGCGCTGTGCTGAGGATGAGGAGCTACTGCGAGCTGTGCTGGCGGGGGCTCGCCCTGGGGCCCAGGGCTTCATCGTGGATACACGCTCGGCCCAGACCGCGAAACAGGCCCGCATGACTGGCGGTGGCACGGAATCCAAGGCCGCCTACCCTGGCTGGAAACGGCTGCACCGGCCCCTGGAGAGGTAAGGGGCTTCCCATACTCTCCCAGGCTCTCCAGGACGCTTCATGGATGGGGGAGGGGGAGTAGAGAGGGAAGGGCTGTCTTACAGGAAACTTGAGGACTGTCAGGCCTTTCCTGAAGCCATCCCACCAGGTGGGCATCCCCCCTTGCACAGCCCCATTCCAACTCTGCAGGAGAGGAAACATTCCTCTTTACATTAGACTGAAAATTGTCTTCCAGGAACAACCTCACCACACACACACACACACACACACACACACACAGAGGTCCCAGCCCCCTGCCCTGAGGACCTATCCCCTCAGTCTCCAGATGAAGGTAGTACCAAGAGAAGGTCCTGGGCAGCAGCTTCTGTGCTTTGAGGAGGGTGCACTGGTGCGCTGCTCCCCTAACCAGAATTCAAAGCTCTGTTTACTCATTTATTCAACCAACACTGAGCACAAAGGCTGAGATGGTGGCTAGCCCAGACATGGCTAAGAGACCAGCAGTAAACAGGCAGTGGGCAGTTAGAGTTCAGTGTGATAAGTGGCAGCACAGAGGAGCCACCCCTCTCTTAGTGTAGGTAGTCTAACAAAAGATGCTCTGAGAATAGGATGTTTTAGCTGAGACTGGAGCGAGGAGGAGGAGTTACGGAGGGTGGGAGAAGGACATTCCACGTGGAAAGCACTGCAGGTGTTTCGGAGCTGGGAGCCTGCTGGAGTGTTTGGGGACCTGCAGGTAACACTAGGGGGAGGGGGTCGTTTGTGAAGTGGAGGTAGAGTGGGGCTAAAGAGGTATTGGGGGCTGGAGCTAAGATCTTCAGTGCCTTGACTATGAGCTTAGACTTTGTCCTAAAGGCAGTGGGGAGCTACTGAAGGGTTTTAAAAAGGGGAATGTAAGTCTAGAGAGGGAAGGGAGGGAGAAAGAGAGAGAGAGAAACATCAATGTGTGGTTGCTGGGGGTCATGGCCTGCAACCCAGGTATGTACCCTGACTGGGAATCGAACCTGCAACACTTTGGTTCGCAGCCCGAGCTCAATCCACTGAGCTATGCCAGCCAGGGCTGATATTTCTTTTTCTATATATCTCTCTTCCTTCCTCTCTCCCTCTGACAATCAACAAGTAAAAAATAAAAGTAAAATAAAATAAAAATGGGATGTAAAATGCACCATAGGGAATATTGTAATAACTATGTATGGTGTCAGGTGGGCACTGCACTTATGGGGGGATCACTTTGTAAGTTATCAAAGTATAATCACTGCATTATATACTTGAAATTAATATTGTATGTCAACTGTAATTGAAATGAAAAATAAAGATTTTCTGGCAGGAGGTTATTGTTTTGGGGAAGTAGGAGCAGATACCAGAATCCCTAGAGTATTGTGTTTCTCCTGTCAGAATGGGGCTCCCCAGGAAGCCAATTTGACTCCCATCAAATTGGGGTACATCAAAGCTACTGTGATACTTCCATCAAATTGGTGGGTTCCCAGGGCATTCTGTGTTTCCCCACAGAATGGCTCAGGGTGCTGTGAGACCCCTCCCCAGGTAATGCTTGTCCCCTGCAACAGAATAGGCCTCCCCAAGGGATAATGGGTCTCCTGCATCAGATTAGGGAATCCTCAAGGATACTGAACCATTTCCATTAGATTAGGTGGGCTCCCCAAAGGGTCCTGGGTCCCTCTTGTTAGACCCGCTCCTCTGAGGGTTCTGTTTCTCCCTCTTGGTCTGGAGCATTTGTCCCCAGGCTGTGCTCACTGGGGCCTGGCCTGGGGGAGGGGTTAACAGACTCCCACTCTTGCAGGGGTCGACCCCTACAGGAAAGCTTTGTGCGACTGGTGGAGGCCTGTGGGGACCTGGAGCAGAGCATGGACCAGTGGCTTAGTCGGCTAGACAGCTGCCGCTGGCTGGCACACGTGCAGGAGGCACTGAGCACTGCCTGCCTAGCAGCCCAGGGAATGGAGAGGTAAGAACAGGGCGGGATGGGCGGGGCTCTCAATCTTTGGGCACAAAACCATCTCTCAGTAAGCAAATATAGCCTAGAGCTATGCCAATTCTATTCCTGGCCTGGCCACCTCGGGCAGGGAAGGACTAGCCAATGTTGACAAGCCCTGGGCTCACAGGGAAGGGGCCTGTGTTCTGGTGCATGGAGCTGAAGGCATGGACAGCACCCTGCTGGTGACGTCGCTGGCCCAACTCATCCTGGACCCCCTGAGCCGGACCATGGCTGGATTCCAGGAACTGGTGGAGCGGGAGTGGATCCAGGTAAGTGGCCACCCAGCCCAGCCCTACCCCTCCATCCCAAAACCCCTCTTCCTCATGCCCATCACTCTGCCCCTCCTCAGGCTGGCCACCCCTTCCAGCTGCGCTGTGCCCACTCGGCCTTCTCCCACGCCCGCTCCAAGCATGAGGCACCCACCTTTCTCCTCTTCCTGGACTGTGTGTGGCAGCTGGGCCGCCAGTTCCCACTGTCGCTGGAGTTTGGGGAGGGGCTGCTGTTGGCGCTGTTTGAGCACGCCTATGCCTCGCCTTTCGGCACCTTCCTCTGCAACAGCGAAAAGGAGAGGTGAGCTATGGGGTGTTAAGGTGGGTCGGGGGACAGGACAGGGTCAGATACCTCCTGCATCAGCACCCTGCTTCCTGAGAAGACATCTTCCCCTTTCAGATGAGTTTCTCTCTTAGGAAAACTCCAGGTGTCCTCTCCTTTCCTACCTCCATGTCTCACTCATTCCCCTACCTTAACCCAGAGGTGGATGGGTCCAAGGCCAGCCCTTTGGCCCTACCCACGCCATCCATAGTCAAGAGCAGTTGCACCCCCTGCTTAAAAACAAGGACTGAAAGATAAGGTTGCTGCAAAAAGAAATAATTTCTGGGGCTCTTTACCACTTTAGTGTGTTGAGTCTAGTGAAGCGACAGAGGTTGAAAGCTGCGTCCAATTGCTTGGGCTCAGATTCCGACTCCATCACTCACCTGCTGGATAATCAGAAGCAAACCTGAGCCTCAGTTTACTCATTGGTAGGGAAGAGAAGATCGTAATCCCAGCCATAATCCATGGAGGGGCGGGAGGGTTGGCAGTGAGGCTTTAGTGGAGTTGAAGCATGGAATGCGCTATGCAGTGCCTGGCAGGTAGTGGGCACACAAGTGGGTTATTTTTATTACTGGGTTGGCTTGTTGCATTGGCCCCCAATGAGTCCTGAAAAGCTGTCTTTCTCTTTTAAGACTCAAATGTGGGGAGCATTCAGTCCTCTCCAGGAAGATGAGAGCTACTTTTCGTTGCCTAGCCCACCACCCGCTTTGATTTTACTAACGCAACTCATGGGTCATCTGGGTTAGAGGTCGTCGTCTGGTTTACCCCCCTCCCCGCATCCTTCATAATTCTTCCCCTAAAAATTTCTTAGCCCAGTCCTCTCCTGGCAAAGGCCCCTTCTTTGGGACATCCCCGGTCCAGACTCACATTCCTTCCCCTGTGGACCGCTCACATTCCGCACTGCCCTCATTATCTCCACTTTCATCACTTATCTATTTTTTTTAAAAAACTCACCAGTCCTGACTTATCAACAGTCACGTGGGGCCTTTTCCACTTTCTCCATTTCGCACCCGCCCTTCCCCCTCCTAAGTGAACACCTGGTGAACTTCTGCTGCTAGAACTGGCACAAACAGCACGTGCCTGATTAACTTTCCTTGTTACCTTCAGGGAAAGCCAAGTGGAACTCCTTAAGAGCCTTTGTCTTGTTCTGCTTTATTCTAGTGCCCATCAGGGGATCTGATTGGTGGTAACATTTGCAGGAAAAAGGAGAGGCTATCACTGCCCCAGGGTGGCAAGCACCCTACTGAGAATCCCAGAACACATAGCTGAGTCTGGAAACTTCCTCCCTCCATCCCTCCAGATGCCTGTGTGAAGTCAGAACTCAGACACACTCCTTGTGGTCGGGGCTCAACCAGTCCAAAGAGCAGCGGAAACTCAGGAACCCGCTCTACGTTCTCAATCCTTCGGCCATCTGGCCCTCCGTGGAGCCCCAGAGCTTGCGACTGTGGCAAGGTGACCCTCCCTCCCCCAGGGAGTTCTCCTCTTCACTCAACTTCCTAACCTGTCCTCTTCCTCCTCCTCAGGCCTGTTTCTGCGCCAGACCCGCCCGCCTGAGCGCTCAGAGGCAGTATGGGAGAAGGTGTGGCAAATAGTGACAGATGAGAAGACCGACAACTCTCAGCCGGTGGTTTCAGCCTCTGAGCCCCAGCCCTAAGTGCTGGCGTCTCACAGAGTGGACAAGACGTTCCCGAGACCTCTCCAGGCCCCTCTGCATCCTCGGACCTTGGAAGAGGGTGCTTGTGACCAGCCCTCGTCCATGACACTGAAGTTCCAGGTCTGCAGTGCCCGAAGTGTGGGGAGGTCCAAAAACAGAGGTGTCGGCTCACTGGGGTGTTGCACTGAGAAGGGAAAATGATTAAACGGACCCCACAAAATACCCGACCAGAAACCATGTATTTCCAAACTAATTTATTATTTCTCAGAGTCCAAAAGTGTCTGTGAGCCCAGGCCCGGAAACTTTCTCCCTGGCCGGGATCGAGATCCAGCTTCTTAAGCCTCAAACTCAAATTCAAAGTACTGTGGGTCGAAGTAGTGGATGCGGACATAACCATCTTCTCCACCACTGCTGTAGCTGGAAAGAGAGAGCCAGGGACCAGTCAGGTGCCTGCTCTGGCGGGGAGGCAGGCCTGTGGGGCGGGGCCTGGGGAAGGGGCGGGGCTTGTGCCTGTGGGGCAGGGACCAGACTTGGCTGAGCCCAGCTCCCTTCTGTGGCCCTACCTCTTTCCATCGGGATGGAAGGCGACACTGTTGATAGGTCCGAAGTGACCTTTGACTCTTCCAAACTCCTCCTCAAAGGCCAAATGGAAGAACCTGGAGAAAAAAGGGTGGTGATAAGGGGCAGTTAATTTATTCTCCACCTCCTTCCAAAATACTTTGGAGGTACCACTGCTCGGTATAAACTGGAAAGTGGGGAAAGTGGGATATGGGGAATGAGTGTGAACATTAAGTTAGGGGGAGATCAGGCCCAAACGTCTGCCTGCATACACAGCTGACACTTCCTACCATGTGCTGGGCAGGGCTCTGAGAGCTTGGTCAGTACGGACTCATGTATTTAATCTGCAGTTTTAGGAGATACGTGTATTATCACTGTCCCCATCATACAGCCGAGGATAACTCGGCACAGAGGAATACAATTGTGTCCAGGGTGCCAGAGTGAGCCCAGGAGTTCATGCTCTTAACTGTTCACTACACTGCACACTTGTCACAGGAGGGCCACAAATCCGGCTCCTTAGTTATGTGGTTTGTGTCCATCATGAAACACACGCCATGAGGTTTTAGTGTGGAAGGGCTCCCTTCCCCTTTACCTGGCCTCGAACTTGCCGATCCTGGTGGAGGTGGTGGTCACGTCCATGGCTTCCTGACCACCGCCCAGCACCACCTGAAGGGAAGAAGGAAGTCCACACAGGCCCAAAGGACAGGGAAGCCCATTTTCTGTTTTTTCCCTTACCCCATAAACTTTTAGTATCTCCCACATCAGACTGGGAGGGCACTAAGTAAGGGCGGGGGACAAAGAGATACTTTAGCCACCCCTACTCCTGGGGCTTTTCACTTGTTCAGCCTTGTTGATGCTCGGGGAGTCTCTGCCAGACACCATTTCCCCCCAGAGTTCTATCTTAGCTGCTAGACAAACACCCAGACCCTGGAAGCACAGGGATGCTTTAGCAGGCAGCTGGGGTGGGATTTGCTTACATGGTCATAGTTAGGAGAGAGGGCGGCTGAGTTGACGGGACGTTCCGTCCGGAAAGTCTTCTGGTGTTCAAGGGTGGTGGAGTCAAAGAGCTGGAGAGAGAAGGCAGGCAGGGCTGGGGGTGGGGGTCTGTAAAGGGAAACTACTTGGGGGAAGTTAGGCAACTGAGAGCTGTGCAGGAGTGCGGGAGCAGCCCCGCCACACCCTCGCCCAGGCTCACCTTGGCTGTGTTGTCCTTGGATGCTGTGACAAACATGGTCATGTCCCTGGATAACTGGATGTCATTGATCTGCCGGGAGTGCTCCTTAACATTCACCAGCACCTCTCCAGACTCGGGGAGGAAGAACAGTGAGGCTCTCACCAGCCCCAATGCCACCAGTCCCGTTCCTCAACCAGGAGTCTAGACTGCTTCCAGTCCCGTCAAGGGGTCAGGGTGTTTGGGCGGACACTAAATACCCCCTGAACCGACATTTACTCCCTCTCCCAGCCCAAGCCTACATCCTAACCTGGCCCGTGTATACACGAGTTTCATAAACACTGCTGGTCCATCTAGAACACATGCACCTACTCATTAATCACCACATAACAAGGGTAGAGCAGTTTCCATTTATTCCTGTTTTCAACAAATATTGTACAGCTACGAATTGCCAAGCATTGGGCTAAGCACTTAACAACACCTTCATTTAATCCTCACAACTATCCAATGAAGTGGATACTTGAACAGAAATTTTAAAAGGAAGACACTGAGGTTCTGAGAGGCGGCATGACTAGGAGATCATGCCGACAGTAAGGGGCAGAGCAGAGCGCCTGAGCTTATCACTCTTCCCCGCCAGGGTCTGGACCGCAGTCCAGGGGCTCTGCTGCACGTCCGCCTTTTCCTAGGTCTTCTCAAAGGGCCACTTCATCTGCTTTCTCTTTCCACAACCTGCTAGTCTGTGTCATACAAAGAGCCGAGTTGAGTCTGTCCCTAAAAGCACTTCTCAGTGCCTCAGTTTGTCTAGAAAACAAGACTGCTAAAAGCCCACTGCCCAGTGCACTGTGAAGATCCTGGGACTGCGGTTTCATTTGACTTTGTTGTGACAGGCACCTGGCCTACGTCCCAGAAACATCTGTACACAGCAGACCTCAGAAAACATTTCCTGCCCTCGATGGGTAGCTCAGTTGGTTAGAGCATTGTCCCCATATACCAAGGTTGCAGGTTCGATCCCCAGTCAGGGCACATACAAGATCAACCAATGAATGCATAAATAAGTGGAACAACAAATTGGTGTTTCTCTCTTTAAGATCAATGTAAATAAATAATATTCATTTTTCTTATTTCTACCTACTCTGAGGGAGGAATCAACATGGTATGGATGTATCTGGCTCCTACATTTTGGGGAACATGCAGCAGTTTTGTGGTCTGGCCTACCTGGGGGCACAGAGCAGTTCTACTGTTTGCTAGCATCAAGCATCATTTGTGCCTTTGACCTTGGTTCCCATTCCCCTCCTGTGGGTAGGCCTGGTGCCTAATGGACCACGGTCAGTGCTTGCTGAGCGAGCGACTAAGCTTCTCGGTATTACATCCCAGCATTCCCTAGGAATGCAAGTGCCCAATCAGAAATCTCTGACAGCTGGGACTTTATATTCGTTCTCCCTCCATCCATCTCATTCTCGTCAGTCACCCTTAATTATCCCTTGACTGTTAGGCACTTCATATCCCCAAGGCTATTGTCTAGTTCAGGTCCGTTCTCCAAACTGTAGCCTGCACAAGCTTTCTAAAGAGGAAATCGGATCATCAATAACCACTTAAAGACTCCTTACTATCTAAAGGAAAATCAGTCCGTAACTCCTGACACTCACAAAATCCAATCTCCATCCACCTTCCCCAATACCACACCCAATGATACCAGGTTTCCTGAAGAACCCACACCATCCCTTAACCCTACCTGTGATGTACTTCCCTTCCTGTGTGAAGCTCCACTCATTGTAAATGGCTTAATGTATGTGCCACCTTCTCTGTGACAGAGGACACTTTCTGCACTTGACTGAGACCGCAGGGTGGCACAACTCGCAACCTGACTCCTATGCTAGCTGTCTGCCGGACTGTCTCCCCCTGGGGCAGGGCCCTGGAACTCAGAGATGGCAGGAAAATACTTAACTGTGATCACTGTTAACAGATCCTGAGATCTCTGTGACAAGTTTTTCAGATACCTAATTAATTTTTTTTTAAAGATTTTTATTTATTTATTTTTAGAGAGGGAAGGGAGGGAGAGATAGAGAGAGAGAGAGAAACATCAATGTGCAGTTGCTGGGGGTCATGGCCTGCAACCCAGGCATGTACCCTGACTGGGAATCGAACCTGCGACACTTTGGTTCGCAGCCCGCGCTCAATCCACTGAGCTATGCCAGCCGGGGCCTAATTAATTTTTTTAAAGATTTTGTTTATTTATTTTTATAGAGAGGGGAAGGGAGAAAGAACAAGGGAGAGAAACATCAATGTGTGGTTGTCTCTCATGCACCTCCAACTGGGGACCTGGCCTGCAACCCAGGCATGTGCCCTGACTGGGAATCAAACTGGCGACACTTCAGTTTGCAAGCTGGCCCTCAAATTGAGCCATACCAGCCAGGGTTCAAACATCTAATTATCATTATCATTATTATTTTAATTTACTTTTATTTTTACAGAGGGGAAGGGAGGGAGAGAGAGAGAAACATCAATGTGTGGTGGCCTCTCATGTGGCTCCCATTGGGGACCTGGCCCGTAACCCAGGCATGTGCCCTGACAGGGAATCGAACCCTGCGACTCTTCGGTTTGCAGCCCTGTGCTCAATCCACTGAGCTATGCCAGCCAGGGCCTCAAACATCTAATTATTATTAGACCCCTGTAACATTTGAAAGATAAACAGGCTCAGGGAAGTTAGGTAACTTGCCTGAGATCCCATAGCTCAAACGTGGTAAAATCTGTATTTAAGTCTAGTCCTCGCTCTTAACCACTGTGCAATCCTGCCTCTTACAGGGAACCACTCTGGGGAGCTCAGGCCCCACCCAGCCCCTTACCTTGGCACTATACTGGTTGAGCTCTCCACTCTCATGGCCCGCAATGATGCACTCCCCTAGCGGTCCCCAAACGGCACTGGTGATCTTGGAGTCATTGCAAGGGATCTTCATGTAGGGCTCGTTGCTGTCTGTGTGGGGCAGCACACGTCAGGCCGGGGGCTTTGGGGATGCGCCCTTCACCTCAACCCCAGCCCTAGGCCCGGCCCCTACCGATCTGGCTCGGATCCCGCAGGTCAAAGAAGCTCACAAAGCACTGGTAGCCCATCTGCTTGTCCGTGGAGAACATGATGATGTTGCCCCCAAAGTCAAAGCCACAGGTCCGGACAGCCGAATTGGTCTTGAGTAGGGCCAGCTGCTTCCCTGGGTGCAGAGAGAGTCTGGGCTACTCCTTGCCCGTTGCCACAACAGGGAGACTACACCTGCCTATCACCATGTCTCACTGTTTCTCCTGCTCCAGTGACTCCAACCCGCCACCCTCCTCTTCCTCACTGCTTTGGCTCAAGTCTCTGAACTTCTTCTCCCTGGTGTCTCCTCAGACAGTCTGCTAACGTGGAACTGCTCATAGTGGAATGCAAGACAACTGTCTCCTTCTCAGAATGTGCTCCGCTACGGCAAAGACCTGTTCTAATTTCTCTGCGTGTCCCCAGTGCCCAGCATAGACCTGGCACAGAACTGGGTGCCCAGTAAATATTTGCTAAACTGAGCAGCTGAATAGGATCCCACCTTTAGTCTCAGTTCTTCCAGTGCTCCCCACTACTACCTGATCTTAGAGGAAATTTAGCACAGACCACCCCTCTTCCCTGCTCAGGGACCTCCACAGCATGCACAGTATTGCAGAACAAAGCCAAGCTCCTGAGTTTGGCATTCAAGGCCTGTTCTGGTCCTAGCCTCTGCCTCATCTGCTCCACTGTCTATTTCATTCCCCAAGAAGCATTCCCCGGAACTCCCGTCAGATCAGATGACTTGGACATGGCACTCGCCATGCTTTCATCCCTGTATGTGCCAAAGTATGACCTCCTTCTCATCCTTTAAGCCTCGGCCCATGTGACATTTACCTTGGGAAATCTTTCTGGGCTGCACCCATCCCATTCCAGGCAGTCAGTCTATGTGGCGGTCTCTGGCCTTCCGAAGTGCTCCTCGCTTCCTCTGATGTGGCCTGCCGCCTTTCTAATCGGAGTTCCTTACTTTCTCACCTGTGTCTTGCTCCCTAGACTAGGAACCATCTGTGGATTTATCTCTGTTTCTTCAGACCCTATTTGCTTAAACAGTACACTGTAGATACTCACTATTTGCTAAAAAAGCATGACCCAGGCTTACCTGTTTCACAGTCCCAGAGACGACAGCTGTTGTCAGCTGAGCCGGTGAGGACATGTTTGGTGTCCCCTGCAGACAGTGTTAAGAAACATGACCAAGTTCACCTGAGCCCAACTGAATCACCTCCCTGTTCAGCTCCAGGGGGCCCTCCTTCCTCCCTTACCTCAGAGCACTCTAACCTCGTCAACCAAAAACGAACTTGTCCTAAATGTCCTCCCAATCGGTGAGCAGACCAGGAAGTAGGAGGTATGTGTCTGGACCCACAACAGCACCCCAGATTCCCAGCTCCGAGTCAACAGCCTCCCCGTTGCTGGCAGACCCTGGGAACATACACTCTGAGCAAAGACAAGGATACAGTCAGCATCTACACACCACACAGCTCCGGTATGGCCCATGTAGGTTCCCAGCCTCTCACCATTCACAGAGTACCAAACATTGACAATCTGCAGGGGTCAAAGACAATGTGACAGGGTGGAACACACCCAGGTAGAGCAATGGCTTCCTATTTTGCCTCAGGAACCCTCAGCTGCCTCTAGCCAGGTCCGACTCTACCCTTTCCTGCGCATCTCCTGGAAAACAGCAGATGGCTGGCAAAAAGATTAACTCCTGAACTCTCCCGCTTCCTGCACAGAAGTGGCAGGGAGTCAGAAGGCCTACAAAAATGTCTCCTTTTGCCTCTGTCCCAGCCCTCCCACAGACTTCTAAACCTTCAGGAGAAGAAAAGGTCAAGCTGAGTGCAAGTCCAGAAAAACAGGAGCTTTGGTGTCCTGTCCGAGTGGGACCTGTTGGTAGCAGAACAGCCTGGGTTTTAGCCACTGCCTCACTGTATTAGCTCAAGTACAGTGCTTCTCCACACCCAACTTCAGCTTCCCACCTGTAAAGGAGGGTCACGACAATGCCTTCTTCAAAGGATGGCTGTGAGGCTATTCCAATAAAATGATGTCGAGCGAATTTAAAATATAAGTGACTAACATTAATGAGGCACTCAGACGCAACAGGTTCTGTGCTCCACTCTTTACTTGAATGATCTCATTTAATCCTAAAGACAACGCCATGAGGGAGGTACTATTAGTACCCACGTTTTATAAAACAGGAAATTTGAAGTTTAGAAAAGCTAAATGGCACGCTCAAAGTCACACTGCTGGTGGATGCAGGAGTCAAGTTTCAAATCAGGTCTGTTTGGCTTCAGAGCCCCCGCTGTAAGCCACTGGAGTTCATTTTCTCCATATGGAGGTACTTCAAAAGGTAGTTAGTGTGAGGGAGACTGTTTGCATTCAGCGAGTGGCAGGCTGGAGCCCAGAAGGACTGACTGAAAGGAGCCCAGGGGCACCTGCCTTAAATCCTCTGTGTCTCTCGCTGCCCAAAGTTCAGCTTTCCCCTCTAGGAATGGTCTGCTTCCCTATCCTGGCAGAACAGTTCTGTTGTTTCCCAGAATAGTCTTCTTCAGGCCCCCTGAACAAACTGACCCCAGTCCCGCCCCAATTCCACAATGGTCTCTTGCTTTTCTTCTTCCCAGCTACTCCTTCTTTCTATTAACAATTGAGTTCTTTGCCACCATTCCCAGTAGAATGCTCTCGCCTACCCACCCCCGGGATGGTCATTCCCTACTTCTTAGAGTGGGGCGTTCTCCGGTTCTGCGCTCGCGGCAAAACTGTCTCGTCTACCCATCACCCTGGCAAACAGAACTCGCTCCCTCCCGGGCCCCCTCCGCAGGGACCCGCCGCCCTGCCCTCCGGGCGACGCTCACAGGGTCCTTGGCCACCGTGAAGAGCAGGTCTCCCTCGCGGTTGTATTTAATCTGCGTAATGGACCGCTCATGGCCCTGCAGCAGGATCGGCTTCTGTGGGAACAGGACAAGAGTGTCAGCTCCCAAAATCGGCCCTTGCCCCAGCCCCGGACCCTGTCAGTAACACTTAAAACTCAGTGAAACTCACCATCCTTGCGGCGACGCCAGGAGAGAAGCAACGTGAGTAGGGCCGGAAGGGGCTTTCGAGCCACTTCCGGATTGTAGGTCTCCGCCCTTTCGTTCCCGGAAGTGGAAGGGAGCGGCGTTGCTATGGCGGCGTCTTTCGGTGTGTAGGCAACCCATCCCCTCCTTAGGCAACCCATCCCCTCCGTGGGCTTCTCACACCCGCAGATCCCCATATCCCAGAGTTCATTTCCTACTCCGTTTCCATCACCTAACTCAGACCCCTGCCACAACCCCCAACCCTGGGCTCTTGGATCCATCTCCCCGGCCTGCCGGGCTCTGTCCAACCTGCCAGTTTCATCCGAAGGCGAAGGAGGGCTGTGGGGGAGGCTAGCTGGGGATGGGAGGCTGGAGGCTGGAGGCTGGGGGCTGGAGGCTGGCGGGCCCCGTTAATTGCCATTTGGTGGCAGGAAGAGGGTCACTTGCATCTTCACTCAGGGCAGGTGCTGGCTCTGGTGCTTGTGGCCGCTCTGTGGGGCGGCACACAGCCGCTGCTGAAGCGGGCCTCCTCCCGCCTGCAGCCGGTTCACGAGCGGACCTGGGTCCGGCAGTTGATGCAGGAGATGAAGACCCTCTTCCTGAATATCGAGGTGCGTCTGTGAATGACCTCTCTGTGTAGCCGCTGAGAATTTGATCTCCGGAGTCAAACAAGTCTGGGTAGAATCTGCGCCCAGCCACTGACTCACTGAAAGCTCTTGGAGAAGTCACTTGTCTGTCCTGAGCCTCAGTTTCATCATCTGTGAGATGGGAATAATAATGGTGAACATGTTAAAGCGCAGTTGTGAACACTGTGGTGAAGCCCATAAATAACTTAGCATTGGGCCTAGTACACAATTAGTGCTCAGTCTATGGCTGCTATTTAATATTTTTATTATGGAGATTTAACAGAACTTTCCAGAGGGAGGGCTTGGGGCTCAAATTTCCCTGGGGAGGGAGCATAAGGAAGGATACAGAGAATTACCTCCAACCCTGAGGCTGCCAGTGTAGGTTTGTGGGAAAGACAAGACAGACACAGCCACCTGTCAGGGCTAAGGGCTAGGATAGGCACAGGTAAAGTGCTGCACGAGTCCAGAGGAGGCAGGCTGGAGCCGGGGCACTCGGAAAGGCTTCTTGGAGGGAGTGAGATTGGCATTCAGGGACCTGCAGGTCCGAGGAAGAGGGCGTTCCAAGCAAAGGCAGAGTTCGGTCAGTAAGTTCCTCTCCGCCCTGGAAGGGTCCTTTTCAGATGACTTAGTGGTCCGTGGGGCCTTATAGCTATTCTTCCCTCCAAGGCAAGGCATTTCTAGGAGCTCAAAGATGGCGGTGCTGCTCGGCCAAGCAATCACACTGACTCCAGATTTCTTCTGCTTCCAGTACCTGGTGCCCTTTTTCCTCAACCAGTGTGGCTCCCTTCTCTACTACCTCACCTTGGCATCAACAGGTGGGTCTCTGGCTTAGAACAGTTGTACTTCATGGTGGGGGCCACTCAAGACTTGCTTTGGGGAGGGTGCCTGTGACACCTTGTTTCCAGGGGTGGAGCAGAGCCCACCGTCTCCAGTTCTCCCTTTGTGCCCTCTTCTCTGAGCTGCAGAGGCACAGCGGGCTGGTTGTGAGTACACCGCCAGGCACTGGAGTTGGTTTGAAGTCTGGCAGTTTTGTGCAGCAGCAGAGGAAAAAGGAAGGCTCGTTTTGCAATTTATTTCACCTGTATTAAGGCCTACATAGCATGTCAGTGTAGAAGTTTTTGAAGCCATGTATTACCTAAAGTTTATGCTTCTGAATGTTGCTAGGAGAAGTCCCCCTGCTGTAGCCCCCCCCCACTGCCCCCCGCTGCCCCAGAGTTTCACCCAGGCCCCTCAGGGACTTGAAGGGAGTTCTGGCCCCACATAGCTTTGGGGAACCCCTGAGAAACTGTGGGAAGGAGGGTGAGGGAAGAGGCTAACCTCCAGACCTGCCGCCTCGGCTTCAGCTAGAGTCACTCTACTTTTCATCTCTTTTACAATTTGGGCTCCTCATTGTGCTTCATTTAAAGGAAAGTTTGAAAGCCTCTGGCCAGCTGACCGCACTGACCTATTTACCAAGGTCTGAGCAGATTGCAGCTTTAGGACCCGGTTCTCATCACCAACTCTGCTCCTGTCCTTTAACATCCACCCATTCTAATAATCAGAACAGTGGTCGCTGTTAAGCATTTCCTTCAGCTTCAGCCAGGGACTATAAATGCATAATCGTATATCATCTGAGAGCAACCCTATTATAAGGAGATGTTATCTTGCCATCACTGGTTTTCGTGTGGGGAGCAGGCTCAGAGTGTCTGAGTGACTTAACCAAGATTGCAGAGGGAGAGCGATGTCTGCCTCACTGTAGTGCTCGTGCCCTCCCACTGGCCGCAGTGGCTCCCTCCCCCACCTACTGTTGCACACCAGTGGTTAGCAGCCACAGTGTTCAGCGGAAGGTGTGTAAGCTTAAGGAAGCATCTCTGAGTCAATAGGAGTTGTGTCACTCTCTTGGGTGGGTAATGCCAGCTATGGTGGGGCCTTTGAGGGGTTGAGGAGCAAGACAGTTCTTTCCTCCTCTGCCTGAAGCAGGTGAGGCCTGGGAGTGCTGGGAAAGGATGTGCCGGGAGCCTGCATGAGCATCCCAGTCTTCCTGGCCGTCGTGAATCTGTCTTGTAAATAAGTAACTCAGCTTCTGATTTCCCCCTTAGTGTTTTGTTTGTTTTGGTGTGTGTGTGTAGTAAGAACAGTTAACATGAAATTTACCCTCTTAGCAAATTTTGAGTGTACGAAATTTAAGTGTAATAGATTTTAAGTTAACAGTGTTGTTAACTCTAATTAGTCTTTTCCAAGCTTGTTTATTGGGAGTCGCTTCCTTGGAGCTTCAAAACTAAGGTGCAGTTCCTGGGCTTTGGTGACGTCTACCTGATGTCCAGCCCTGTGAGGCCTGTTCTGAATGGATAACTGGCCTCCTACCTCTGCTATTTTTCTCTTCTTTAACTCCAGAAGGCCCGAGCCTGAGCTGAAACCCAGTGTGCCTCACCTCCTGTTTGAGTTGTTCCTGTCCATTAGTTTAGTAAGGGCGCAGCTTTGCAGTCAGGCAGACCTTGGTGTGAGTCCTCAACTTGCCTCAATTTGTGTGACTTCTTTAAGCCTTTGTTTCCTTACCTATGCAAACAACGACAATGCTTTTCTTGCTGTGTGGCTGTACAGATTAAATGCAGTATGCACACAAAGCACCTGGCGGAGTGGATGGCGGCTGTGTTTGGTGTTACTGCGGTCATTCTGCTTCATCCTGGGGGCTTTGGGTGCCTGTCTGTCCTGATGTCCCCGTGATCTAAGGAGCTCTCCCTGAGTGCAAAGACCTCTTCTTAGCAGCAAACCAGGGTGGTCCGAAACCTTGCAGTGCAGATCTTCATGCTGGAGTCCTGAGGGGGCACTGAGTTTGGAGTCGGGACACCCGACTTCACCTGGGAAATGAGGTCACTAGGGATCTTTTTTAAAAGGCCCTCTTGATGATAAAATGAAAGTGTTTTGTGCTCAGAAAGGCATTTTTTGCATTGCAATAATTCTTTTCAATGTGATCATTCAGATCTGACCCTAGCTGTGCCCATCAGTAACTCTCTGTCCATCGTCTTCACACTGGTTGTCGGGAAGGTCCTTGGAGAAGATATTGGTGGAAAACGTAAGTCAGGCCACTGTAGGTGTGGGAAGCAGCTACTGGGTTAATTCCTTCCCAGAGCCATCTCCCCTGGGCGGGTGAGGAGAGGACCTCCCCCAAGCCCTGCACCAGCTCTGCTGGTGTGGCTGGGCTCAGAGCCACTCGAATTCTACCCATTATCCCAGGAACGTTTGCAGGCATGGTGCTCACCACGGCCGGAATTACACTCTGCATCACGAGCTCAGTGAACAAGACCCAGGGACAACCATCTACCCTGTAAGTGGGCCAGCACCACTCTCCAGCTCTGCCGTCTCCAGGAAGTCCGTTGGGGCACGGGGTGCAGCCAGTGAGCAGATGGACCCAGCCCTTCCCCACTCTGAGCCTCAGCTTCCTCATCTCTTATGGGGATAATAGCTATCTCGTGGATCACAATAAGAGAACAAGAGTAAAAGGATTTTGTAACTTTCAAGAGCTGTTCAATGGCTGGGATCTAGCACAACAGACTCCACACTCCAGCAACCCAGTTGCTGCTTTCTACCGCAGCAGCTCCCTTCCTGCTGTCACATCAGGCCCCCAGCCCAGCCACTGTCACTCTGACCTGCTCCGGACTATCACGGCAGCGGGGTCGGTGGGCGGCACACCCCTAGCTGCATGGACCGGGCCAGCTCTAGTCTTTGAGCGAGAAGTGCAAACAGGAGGCCTCCAGGACAGTCAGAAACCTTGGCTTGCGGTGGGGGAAACCGAGCGGGGGAAGGCGCATCAGAATGGCAGATGTAGGGAAGAGGGGCTGGCTGCTGGCCTTGCATATCCCACCCGTGGGGTGGGTGGCAGTCCCCAACAGTCCACCCCTCTCAAACAGAGAGACACCTGTGAGCCCCAGCACTGCCCAACTCCAGCATTTTGCGTAATGCCTGGCGAGTAGCAGCCTGTAATAAATCTGTAGTAAACAAGCGGAAGTTAGTAAGTATTCTTTATTGTGACAGACCTGCTCTCAAGTTTGTGGTCTCTTCCCCAAGCTCAGCTGGCTACTCCTTTCTTTGGCCAGAGAACCCCATAAGGAAATGACCTCCGTGGTTAGGGCTGCTCTGCTCAGACGGGAAAGGAAGACTGGGCTGTGGGGTTAGAAGCAGAAGACTGGGGAGGGTCTGAGGGGGCTGAAGTACCCTACGGGCCCACGGGAGGCACTTGCTCCTCCAGGACAGGCTGCTGGGGGCTGAGGACAAGATGTGGCTGCAGAGTGGCGGTCCCCAGTTGCTGGCAGGGACTGCAGCCCTCAAGATGGCAGAGCAGGTGCTGAGGTTGAGACAGCCACCCCAGCCCCAGGCTGGTTTTCCAGGGCCTCTTCCACTATCTGTGCCGCCCTCTGGAGGGAGGAGGAAGGCCGTACAGGGTGGGCCATTAGCATCCCACCTCCAGCCCTCAGCCAAGTCTCCCAACCCCAGGAAGGGAAGAGACTAGAAATTAGGATCTGCCCTCTACTTAACACGGTGGGAAGTGAGGCTTTGAGATGTTAGGAGATCCGCTCACAGTCGCAGGGGAAGCACTGTCCCTGGGACCCAGGGCTCACAGTTTCTGTCCAGCCAGGACACTTCCAGTTGCAACATAATGTGTCCAGCCCTGGCCCACCTGATCCAAGGGTTCCTCTGTCCAGGTGTCTTCATCGTCTGCTACTTCCCGGGCCCCTTCTGTCTCCTTTCTTGGGTGCGGAGCCCTGTACACTCCCTTGACTCCTGATGAGGGGGCCGCGTTAGCTGGTGCCCAGGCTGAGGAGCACTCGGCGCTCTTCCCCTTGACCTCCCCCATCAGCCTCCTCCCCTGCGTTTTGCTCCACATTCCTCGTTACCTTGGAACACGGCAGGGCAGTGCAGAAGCAGGCCTTTGGCCCCCACCCCCGGCCCTTCCAAGCCCTACCCCTGAAGTCTCATTTCCTTGAGTTTCTGTGTGCTTGTTTTCACACGCCGAGTCCCTGTAGAGGGGCCAGGAACTGGGTATTGCACATGGGAGACAGCTCCATCCCTGGGCATTCTGCCCCCACGGACCGTCCCCGCAACAGCAGGGACCGTCCTGTGTCCCACCCAGTGAGAAGGTGGCTGGGGAGAGCCTGGTCCCAGGGTCCCCTCACCTGATGGAAATGAGAAAGTGGGGAACATGCTTCTTGGCTGAGCAGCCTGCTGGGGTCTGGCATAGAAAGCCGATGTCTCAGTTTGGCTTGGTTCCTCTGGAGAGGGCTGGGTTGCCTGTGCCCTGTGGCCATGGGCCTGTAGACAGGACCCTGAGCTTGGGCCACGGGCACTGGCCGTTCTTACCTTCTTACTCCCAGTCCAGGCGTGAATGCGCCTGGTGCCCATGGGAGCTTTGAGAGGAGAAGCTGTCCACCTTCACAGGCTTCATCCTCCCTCCCTGCTCCCTCTTCCCATCGGGCTGCCTTGTCCAAGGACAGAGCAGTTGGTGCCTGGTGCTCAAGAAGCCCAGGCTAATCACGCTGTGTGGCTCTACCCCCACCCTGATGCCCACTGGCTCATCTCATGGGAGAGCTCTGGCCTGGGATAAGATGGGGGAGGGGCAGGGTGGGGTAGATGAGCTCCCTGGGACCCTGCTATGCCAGATATGCCACTTGTCTCTCCCAACCCTGACCTGGCAAGAGGCATTAGGTCCAGGCAGTCAGAGTCCTGAAGATCCTCACAGAGCCTGCGTGAGCCGCCTTCCAGCCCAGGCCCTGGTCTGGCCCCTACCACTCAGTAACTGTGTCACCCTGAGCAAACTACTTCACTCCTTTGAACTTCAGTCTCTCCTCCTAGAAACCGGAATAATAATCTCTCTTTTGGTGCCCTCTCCCCTCCACCTCTTCCCCCGGTGTGCGTTACCTCTGCCTTTCTCTCTCCTAAGCGTCTACGGCCTGTCTACGATCTCTCTAACTTTCTAAATAAACTTTCTCTTAAAATTAAAAAAAAAAATCTCACAAGATTATTGGGAGGATGCAGCGAGGTAAGGACAGAGCCTGAGCCGCAGGAGGGGCCAGCAGCCACTGTCCTTCCTTTCCCCTGCCGCTTTTGGCCTTTCACGCCACCTACCCCCTGCTCGTGGGGCCTAGGCGTTGGGTCTCGGGGGTGCCTGCAACGAAAAAGAAAAGGCTGGTAGCAGGCAGAGGAGGATGTGGACTCGAGGTGGCTTCCTCTGCTCTAACCGGCTGCCCTTCCCACCGCATGCATACATACCAGCAGCCCCTGGGCAGCGAGGGACTGGGCACCAGCAGCTCCATATAGGGGAGGGCCTTGAACTCATCTTCCCCGACAGCCACATAGTAACGGCCACTCACCAGCGCCTCCCTTGCTGACAGTGGGAGCCCCTCCAGGGTGCAAAGTCTGGGAGAGAGGAGAGCAGAAAAGGACTGGTGGACAAGATGCTCTTCATATTTGGCAGACTGTGAGGGGCGGGCACAGCTATTCCAAGGTGCCCTATGGCCACTGGCCCCCTGGGCACCAGGGCCAGTCACCTCAACTGTGCCCTGGATCCAAGAACTGGGCTGGAGGAGCCTCTCTCTGTGGCACAGAAGGAAATCCCGCTTGGGGAAATGTGCTTTCTTTTTGCCTTTTCATCTATAAGGTCAGTCGGAGCCAGTGAGGAGGCTCCCTTTGGAGGCCTCTGGGAGCCCCGGGCCCCGTACTCACTTGCCCCGTACTCACTTGCACACAGCCCCTGTCCGTAATTTGGCCTTCTCGGTCAGGAGCTTCAACACCGTCTCCCAGTCCTCATTGGCAGCCTGGGACAGCTTCAGGCTAAATGGGGGACTTAACAGGTCCCCATTCCTGAACACACTGGGACAAAGAGCAGCCTGGTGAGGGGAAGGGTCCCCAGAGTTTCCTACGTGTGAAGGGACGAAGGGGGCACGGGGGCCAGAAGGCGGTTCAAGAACCAGTGCGTTGGGCCCTTTCCACCCATCAAGCATGTTGGACTTCTTATGCCCAGGGGCCAGGGGCTCCTGGAACAGACCTACTCACATCTTCTTGGTCTCACTGAGACTAAACTCTACGTTCCTGCTCCCAACACCAGCACTTACTGGATATAGCAGCGGGACCCTGCAGGTGGCCTCCGTCCAAGGGCCCCACCTCCTGGGTGCTGAGTCGCAGGACGACCCTGAAACCCAAGTCAGCGAGAGTTGAGGCCTTTGGTCAGGGGTGGGTCAGCCCGAGTGAGCAGGTGAGGGGAAGGAAGCAGACGGGGGAAGGAGAGGGGCAAGGAGGGATGAGACTAGTCACGCCTTCACCAAATGGTGTTTCAAACTCCCTAAGTCGCATCCTAAGCACCCCTGCCCCATGCGTTTTACAGCTTCCTTTTTCTCTGGGGACCACAGCCTGGAGATGAAGTGAAAGGCTGGGAAAGGAGCAAGGGGGTAGTGTCTAGAATCTTCCACCCGGGAAGCATACCAGCGATTCCAGAGTAGGTGTGGAGACTGCCCCCTACGGGACTGGCAGATCCTGCCCTTCCTAGGGCCCCTGGCCCCCCAAACTGGGGGCAATCCCAGGAGGAGTGGGGAGACTTACAGGGAGTCTGCTGCTTTTCCCACCTCGCTCCTTCCCTCCAGGGGGCGAATAGCTGAAAGGACAGGTAGGTCACAAGTCATCTTGGGGAGCCTCGTAGCTGCCAGAATTTGGGCCTGCGGTCTAGCTCATCCCTTCCCATTGGAATAGTTAGTTCCAGTCATCTCAGTCCAGAAACAGATGCTGGCAATGGAACCTGCCTTGGTGTCCTCAGTTAGGCTGACACAAACCCTAAGATTAAAGGTTGAGATTAGTTCATTAAACATCCTACTAATGTCAGAAATGTGCTCGTTCATGGGGTAGGTGGTCTTATCTCATGTATGAAATTCAGAGTGACTCACCTAAAGAAGTGACAAAGCCCAGACTCTAGGTCTGTCTAGCACCCAACCCCTTGCTCCTTCCGTTACAGCAAGTAACCTCAGCTGGGAGCCGAGGGGGGCCAGGAAGCCAGATCTGAGTCAGGAGCTCAAATACCCAAATCCTTTTCCCATCTTGAAAGGCACAGCTCCATCTGCAAAGGGGAATGACCCGGGCCTAGTGCAGAGCACGGGATGCCCAGACGGGGCCAAGTGGAATGATGGATGGATACAGCGTGTTTGGTGGTGGTGGAGCACCCATTTAGGAAGAGCCTTTGGTTAAAGGGGCTCAGCCTGCAGAATGTTTTCCTTCCCACAGGCTGGCCCTGGCTGTGATGAGTATAAACGTCCGTGTCAGACTTCAACCTAAACTCTGGCTCCACTATTTGTTACTTCACTTCATTGTCTTGATTTTCCCTTCTAAAGAATGGGGGAAAGGCCAGCCCGTTTGTAGGGTTGCTGCCCTCCGAGACAGTGTATAAAGCACCTGCACATAGTAAGTACTGAACACGAGCCATTGCCGTTACCTCCCTCCCTAGGCTCTTTGACCAACCCCAGCCCACTCACTGGAGCTTGCAGAACCTCTCGAAGCCAGCAGCCACATACTGCCCTCCGTTCTGCAGGTCGGCCAGGTTGGTGATACGGTGGCCATGACAAGGTGTGTAGAGGGCACGCACAGCCAGCGAGGCCTGCACAGCTGATGTTACCTCATTGAGGAAGGCTTCCATGGTGGGGAAGTGGCGCCGAGAGACCACTAGCTGGCGGCCTGGGCAGAAAGGGTCCCCATTCCGGTATACCACTACCCTCTTGGCTGCCATAGTGTATGCTCAGCTAGAGACACAGAGCTGTTGCCAGGCAACTAAGGCAAGCCTGGGAGCAGTGCCAATCAGAGGTGGAGGCCCGCCCTCTCAGGAATGCAGGGAGAGCCTCAGCAGGAACACTAGAGTCAAGGTCTCATTCGATCTGCCCTTGCGGGGGCCTCACCAGAGTAAAGAAGGTGTGATCACTATACACGGAGGGAGACCCTGGGGCCCTGTGAGAGGCACTGCTGGAGAGCACTCTGAAATACAGGTGCTCCAGTACCGGATGGGTGGAGGGCTTCTCAGAACCTCCCCTGTGGCTCTACAGCCCAAGGGCTGAGCTCAAAGGAGGATGAGCTCTGGAGTCTGCTCCCAGCCAGCTCTGGGGCAGATACCCCAGGGAAGTAAGAAGTGATGGGAAGGCCCCGAGTCTGTTCTTACCACAGGCACTAGACGAATGCAAACAGGCTCAGAATCCAAGAAAAACCTTTATTCTCCATCAGGTCTCCCACTTAACCAGGTAACTCCCCGTCCAGAGTTCATATTGAGCCACAGGCAGAGGATGAAAGCATGTCCTTCTCCTTCCTCTGCCTGTACTGGTGCCAGCTTTTTGCTCCAGCATTTCTTGGCCCCACTGGTCACCAAGGGAGGGGCAGGAGGTGGAGCTGGTGCCAGAGATCGAGGATGAGGACCTGTCTCCTTGCCCTTTCACAGCACCTCCCTCTGGAACCTGCGCCTCCCCAGGGACTAGCCTGGTGGTCCTGTTTTCCACAGCCTGCCCCTCCAGTGGTTCTCTCCTATGCTGTCTGACCCTGGGGAAGGCAGTTTTTCAGGTGGCCTTGATCTCCAAGATCCAGTCCTCTGGTTTTCCCATCCTTCAGTGCTAGGCTCCTTGGAAGCTCTATCTCTGGAGCTATTATTACAGGGGGTCTGGCCCTTGGGTGGTTTAGTCTTCCAGAGATCCCGGCCACCATGTTCTGCCGAAGTCCCATCCCATATGACACGGTCTTCTGAGAGGTCCAACTCCCGTGGCCTAGCTCGTTGGCACTCGGGCTTTTTGTGGTCTGGCCCTCTGGGAGACCTATCTTCAATATTCAGGTCCGCATGGAGTGTGGGCAGCTGTGTTCTGGCCTTTCCAGAACAGGGGCCCTTAGGTTTGAGGCCTTTAGGGGTTTGGTCCCCATGGTGTGGCTCTTTGGCGAGCCTATTCTCCATGGCCCGGTTATCTGACGGCATGGGCAGCTGTGGTCCAGCCTTCCTGTGGCATGGGTCCCTGTACTTGTTCTTGACAGCGGCTTCATCTGTAGTGGCCAGTCTTTCCGGGGATTTGTGGGGTTGTGACTTGAGCCTCCAGCAAGAGGCATCTGCGTGGCCTGGCTCTCCAGCAGTTCTGGCTCTGCAGCACTGGTCTTCCAGTGGCGGGCCTGGCTGTGACCCAGCTCTCCCACGGGCCTGTCCCCTGTGGTCTGGGCTTGCCTCCGGGGATTGCAGTGTTTGTCTGAGAGTTAGGTACTGTTGGGGAAGAGAACAGACACTGTACCGGGCAGGCGTGTGTGGGCATGGCAGGAGGCGTCTCTCTAACTGCCACCCTTGGCCCTAAATGTGCACAGAGGGCTCCAAGTTAGTGCTTACCACCTTACGGCTATTGATAGCCTGCTGTAGCCAGAGCAGTTCCATGGCCAAGTGGCTGCGGCGGTACTGGAGCTCTTGGAGCTCAGCTGGGCTGTGGGGCAGTCCTGGACCCGCAGCTTCTGTGAAGGAGGGAGGAAAAAAGAAAAAGCCTTGAGGGGTAGACACAGGGCGCTGGCCTAGCAGTAGACCCTGGGATGCTCCCCCAACCTGTGAGTTGCCCTCAGCCAGGCAGAAGGAAGAAGGAAAGGGATGCAGCTTATCTAGAAAACGCCTTTCACTTTTCAGGTGGGAAAGCTGAGGCCAGAGAAGGTCAGGGGCTTGCCTTGATCTAGCAGAGACGAACCTAGGTTCTCCATCCTTGACATGTCTCTGGTCTTCTCTTGGCTGGGTTTCCCGGTTTTCCTGCTCTGCTCATCCTGAAGCCACGGGCTCTCATCTCTGCAGGGAAGACTGTCTGAGTTTGCCGAGCTCTCTCCTGGCTTCTTCCGCATCATCTCCCCCGGGGTGACGTCTCTCTCGGGCTCCTTCCGTGAGAAGCAGCTCCATAGTTCCTGTTCTGGCTTTGGTACCCTCTCTCTGGCTTTCCAGGTCCGATGGGATTTTGCCTTCTGAGCAATCAGTCAGAGAGGTATGAGAACTGCAGGGCTAAACCCTCCAAGTACCTGAGTGCCGTGAGTTAGCTTACAAGTTGGTGGGGATTCGGGATTGGGGTGTGAGGAAGTCAGTCTGCTGCCTCTTCCATTGAGAAAAGCTTGTCAGCAGGAAGGGTGGATTCTACCATTCCCTCTCCCCTACCCAGGTCCCTCTTCCCCCTAGGATGTGCACTACCTGTGGGAGAAACTGAGGTCTGGGAATCCAGCCCTCAGTCCATTGCAGTGTGCCCAGGTCATCCTCGAGCTCTCGTACAACAGCCTCATACTCAGCCCGTAGATTCTGGAATTGGCGTCGGACCAGGAAACCCCGGACGCAGGCCTGGTGTGGAAAAGGAGGGGAAAGAAAACCCTCGTGGTTGCAAAGGTGGGGGCGTCTTTAGTGATTCTCCTGGGGAGGTCATTCCAGTGGCTGCAAGAGGGGACCCAGCCACGGGAAAAGGGTAAGTGATGCTCTACGCTGGGGCTCCGGGGCTTCAAGGGAGCATGTTGGACTGCGTCCCTCTCTTCGATTTAAGGCCCTTGCTACCATTTCCATGCTGCCGCAGGAGCGTGTTGTGGAAGCGGTGGGTGGTGGTGCTGCGCGGGGGGCGGGGGGGGGGGCGTGCGAGGGGGCAGGGTCCGTGAGTGCCACCATTCTCTAGCGCGGTGGGGATGGGTCGGTACCTGCACAGGTGGGCACGCGGGTAGGTAACTAAACGTGATAGCCTCATCTCATTGGGAGGTCCTAGCCCGAGATCCCATAGGGGTTATGTGCATCCTCCGCCCGCCCCGCACCTGCAGCAAGACCACCTTCTGCACCAACTGCTCCCGCTCCATCGGGTGCAAACCGCCTGCGCCTACACAGTGCGTCATTAGTCCGCGCCGGCGCAGGCCCCGCCCCACCGTCTCCACGGCAACCATTCCTGGTTGCTTAGGCTGGAGGAGTCATCCAAACCAAAAGTGTGCCGCGCAGGGGTGTATTCGCCAGGGCCTGGGCGCCCCAGCACAGTAAAGCCGCAGTGAGGAGAGGGAGGACACGGAGCTGCTTTCTTTCTTTCTAGTTTAATTCCATCTAATGCCCCCCTCCCCATAGCACCTGGGGGCTGCAGAATATACAGTCGAGTTCGTAAAAAGTCACAGTTTGAAGGGAATGAGAGGGGGCGGCTTGGCCCTGGTTCCGACGTCTACACAGCCGCCTGTTCCTCAGGCTCCGCGTTCTCCGCCAGGTGCAGCTTCTGTCTGTGTCTGTCAAGGATCGCCGCTTTGCAGCCCGGCCTCCCGTCCCACACAGGCTGTTTCCTCCAACTGCGAAAAGGGGCTGCGCAAGGGACTCTGGGGTGGTCCGAGGTCCAAGGTTGCAGTGCTCGCCTGCCCTTCTTGCAAAGTGGCTTACCCCATCGCCTCTTGGTCTAAATCGTACAGGCGTTTGCACCCGCACTATTTCTGACTAGGACTAGTACTCGAAATCGGTGAAAATAACTGTTGAGTGCTGAAAGATTGGGAAGCCACTAGTGAAGCTTTGCCATGGATTGGTGTCAGCTCAAGTGCTTGACAAGATTTTGATGAGCAGGTAAAAGGTATTTCCTGCAACTAGCGTTCTCCTAATATTTGGGAAATTCTTCCTGCACTTCTTTACTTGGATGGCGTCAGCCTGTGGTGAATTCTAACTCAGGGGGACACAGAGGTATGGAGATGTTGGTTATATGCAAATACCCCTGGATGGTGGTGGGGAAGAGGAAACTAGCATCATCTCTGGGAGGCACACAATCACACACACACACACACTATTGGGTCCACTGGAAAGGATACATAGAATTACTAAGATCTTCTAGCTGTGGAGAGAAAGAGAATTTCCTGTCAGGAGAGGCAACCAGGCCAAACCCCAGAGGTTCTGGGTGCCATCTTCTAGTGGGGATTGAGGGGCCCAGAGCTCTTAACCTCATGCACCCCCAGCTTTTCACCCAGAGGCCAGTAATGGCCTTAGAAGCATGTACCTCCCCCACCCACCCCTTCATGCCTCCAGGAATCGACGCACTCAGCCTTGACCCACATTGCTAAGCAGCTGGTCCAGGTTTCGGTCAGCCATGGTCTTCTTCTGCTCCTCAGGCAGCCCCTCAGTGACGCCATCCTCTTCCTCTTCCTCTTCCTCCTCCTCCCCACACACGTCCAGGCTGAAGTGCAGCCGGGCCAGCTTCTCCTGCATCTCCCGAACGTGTTCCAGCTGCTCGAAGGAGCATTCCTTCCCTGCACAACACCTGACTGAGCCCTGGGAGCGACTCTGGGGCCTGGGTCCCAGCCGCCCACCAGAGACCAGGTCCTCCAGCCCCATCTGCGCGCCCTCGAAGCCCAGCCCCCAGGACTCACCGAAGGCCTGAAGCCGGCCTGAGTGGAAGTCATTGAGCAGGTTCAGCAGCCCCCCCTCCATCTCATAAACGTCGGTCACCTCAGTCAGGAACGAGTGCTGCAGGGGGGTGCCTGCAGAGCCCGTCCCACCTCCAGCCAGCACTGGGCGGCATTTCTCCTTGCCTAGCCTGGGGGGTGGACATGACCAAGGTCACGGGGTGGGGGCAGCCAGGTACCCTTAGGCCTTTTGTGCCATCTATGTACCAATGCATCTTCCTGTCCACTCACCAACATAAATGGGTGCTTGTTCTTGTGGCCCCGCCCTGGGCACCAGGACTGGGAAAAGGAAGGGAACGGGTGAGGAGGGCATAAGGGTACAGCCTGAGCTCTGCCTAGAAGGGGGCTCCTGGG